TTAAACTGCTAAGGGCATCCGTGATTTCTTCTGCCTTCCGTGGTTAGCAGAAGGAAATGTAAACGCTCTGGATTGTCTGTGCACAGAACGTTAGCTGTTAAATATCTACTGGAGGCTGAACGATTTCTTTGCTTCCTTCCTTCCTTCTTTCATTCATTCATTCTTTCTCCCCCCACCCCTCCCACCCCCAATCCTTCCCTCTCTTTTTCTTCTCACCACGACCATTGTTCAGAAGCAAATTGGAAATCTGGTCATTAGGCCCTGACTCACGGTGTAGTATTAGAGTCCCGAGCCAAAGTTCAACACCCTGAAATGAAATTTAAACCAATTAATCTGTTAGATTTTTATCGCTTGTCCGTGTTTTCTCAGCAATTCCCCCAGCACGTGGCCTTTGATCAACTCTCATACAAACGCTAAAATGTGTGCCTGCTGCTAGCAAGATGGGAATGACATTAACATGGGTACTCATAAAACAATCAGAGCAGAGAAGCCCTCAAACAGGCAGGGCATGGTAATATTTAATAAAAGCACACACATAATCTTCAGAATTAGCATTTTGTGCCTTGCAGTACCTTTGGGAGAAGAGCTTTTATTTGTGGAGTGATCATTATTATAACAAAGAAGAGCTACCTAATAATTTCCACTTTAACTCTGCAATGTGCCACGAGCATTTCAGAGCCATTATGCTAAACTGTGGTAGGGTAATCATGTTATTGTCATAGTTTGAAGGAAAGAAAATCTCCTCTACTTTGGTGGCTGTTGGGGGTGGGGGAAGAGGTGAAAAAAAAAAAAAGAAAAAAACATCAACTTCAACTTTAATTTTTAATGAGTTTTAGAACCAGGAATTGGCTCTCTGTCCTTGTGGTTACCTAGAGTGTGAAAATTCACTGGTGAGGAAGGAAGAATCTTTTATTAATTAAATCAAGACTTGGCTGGTGAAAGTGGCTTTTATTCAGTCAAATCCTCTCCCCTCCCCAATTTCATAATATTTTCATAGAGATAGGATTGTATTGATTATTACAGTCCTGGGCTGAATTGAATAATTTATAAATCTTTGCACCTTCAAACTCTACTGAACACATCCACTGTGGCTATTAAAAATGATCTCTCCTTGTCTTCTTCCTTTCCGTGTCTCTTTGGCTCTCCTGAATGAAAGAAAAAACAAGTCCTTGGCTGCTTCAGATGTGGTCTGGGCTTTCTCAGAGTAAAGCTTACCCAAAAAGAAGAGAGAAGGAGAGGTTCAGGATTTGTTAGTCAGCACCGCTGGACAATTTTTTTTTTTTTTTAATTAGTGTCCATTTGTTCTAAATAGTACAACCTTTATCTCTTATAGACTTAAATGCTCTGTTATTTAATTCTTATTATGATAACGTATTACCTTCACACGTGCTCACTGAAAACATTCAAACCATACCGCTTTCTACAGAGTAAAATTTAATGGTCTCTCTCCCCTTCAACCCCATTCCAACCACGTGGCTGTTTCATATGGACCCACTGGGGACAGTGGGTGTACTTCCTTCCAGACTTTCGTTTACATAACTATATACACACAAACACAGGTGCATATACAAGCTTCTGTATGTCATTTTTTAAGTAAACAGGATCACACTGTTCATTAGACTACAAATTGTTTTTTTACTTACTAATATACTTTGACGTTTTTCCATGTCAGTTTATAGAAGTCTTTCCCATCCATTCTAATGACACTCCTAATATTCTGAAGTGTGGATATACCATAATTTATTTAGCCACTTTCTAATTAGAGGCACCTAGACTTGAATATTTTTACTGTTAATACTGCAGTGAACTTTTGGGTACCTATAGTTTTAGGTACATTTGCAAGTATTTCCTGGGCTGCTTTTAATCTGGCAGGTTTGTTTGTGACTAGGATAAAAGTGTAAAACAGTGGCTTGAGAGTTAAAAATATTTTGCTTACAGCCTACACGTTCAAAAAAAAATTAAATCAGTTGCCAGCATTTAAAGATTGGAAAATTCACATAAAAATCTGGTTCCCAGCTTCTTTCAAAAGATCAGAAGCCCTGACCACACTGGGCCTGCATTTGTGTGGGGGAACGAGTGGCTAGATCTTCCCCAATTCCTAGTGTCAGGGTCACCCATCTCATGTTTGTTCTGAGACTCGGAGCTGCTGTATTCATTTGTGTTTTCTGCCTTGGCCTGTATGGACCTGTGAGTTTTTAACAACCACTCCTGGGCCCCCTCTGTTAGCTAGTCACAGTGTCTTCTACCTTGTGTTATTGACGTTTTAGAGTTCTTCATTTGGGGGAAACTATCCCATGCATTGTTGACTAGTTAGCATCTTTGACTTCCAGGCGCTAAATGCCAGTAACATACCTTCCCCATCTCTCTGTCTCTCAGTGGAACAGCCCATGAGTCCTTTACATATTTTCCAAACTTCCCAGTGGGGAAATACCACAGAGCTTCCTCTTAAGACTTCTATGACACACAAATGTATAGAAGCACCTATAGAATGCTTTGAAGCCCAACTTTAGAAAGGTGTGCATGACTTCCTTGTTCTAGGAATGGCATCTAATCTCTAAGCAAGGATAACGGATGGTTGAGTGTGGAGGTAGGATGATCGAGGGGTGTGTCACTCTTTTCTCGAAGTACTTCCTTCAACGGTTCTTTTCTCCAAAAAGCTAAGAAGGTGGTGTCACATAGTGTCTCCTCAGCAGCTTATCACTGGAAGCTTGAAGATCTTTCTTTCCTCTGGCTAGTTGATAGTTAACTTTGTTTCTGGTTGGTTCCTCACAGAATTTGAAAACATTATCACTTTCTTTAGGAAGTGTGTGAAAGCACACACACACACACACACACACACACACACACACACACTTACATGCCTTCTTTATACTACAAACAACAAATGGAAAGAAGTGGAGGGGATCAAAGCTAAAAGCAGCTTGACCATGCTATCAGAACATCCTACTATAGGAGAGTCTCTCAAAGATAAACCAACACAATTCTGCCTTCTTTGTACTCTGATAAGTAAGCCTGGAGGAGTCCCTTCTTATCTAAAGAAATATCTAAAGAAAGACACTTACTTAAAGAAATTTGCATTATTACAAAAAATAAAATTTTAAAAATTAAAGCTCATGCAGATAATAAACATCAAGTCTCTTTTGTTGTTTATGAGGGTAGTCACAGGGTCAGCATTTAATGATGCCATTGGATTTCACACTTCGCCATTAGGCTGGACTCCTTGAAGACCAGTTCAGTTAAACCAAGATCCTGTTCTCAGAAGTATCTGGAGATAGGGTGCTCTTTCTACTCTACATTAGCAACTGAGGCCTCTGAGTTAGAAATTAAGAATTGAGATTTTGAGACATTAACTAGAATGTTTCCAAACTGCTTTTATGTTAGGAATTCTACGTAGTTGTTCAATGTATTTGATTTCTCTTATACATTTCTTGAAATCATGCATCATACTCTGCCATTGGTTTGGGAATACTCAATCATGTATTTAAACATCTTTATTTTCAAAGAAAAATTCTGCTTAAGAAAAAGTCCTATGCCTGTGGAGCATTGACCACAACTTTTATGTCTGTTAAAGATTGGACAAGAATTTTAAAGTCATGAATAACTTACATTTTCTTGATTAATAATTTTGTTTTGGGGCGAAAGTGAAGGAGAGAAAAGGCATCTGAACTGTCCAGTTTTAGTTGTAAATGCATTACTATGAGCTTAGCCAACATGAAATGTTTAGTTTGGATATTTCCTAATTTCTCTGTGCTATTTTATAAGATGAATTTGAATCAAAATCAAACCCATTCTACTTGTTTGTGTGGTGGCACGTGAACAATGGTCCCACCGGGCTGGGCTTAATATTTTCTTTTCTTCTTGCAAAAGTTAAAGCATGACATGTTGCCAAATTTGACAAAGTCCAATAGTTTTTTTTCCAGCTTTTTTCCCGTTAAAATTAACTGGTGCTCTCATTGGCTTCAATATTTGGAAAGTCAGTCTTGGATACTTAATAAACTTTTTATTAAAGAGAAGGGTCTCGTTTCCTCTCCTTGTGCAATATCTCCCTTGCTTTAGAATTTTGCTTTGTTCTTGTTCATAAAAGTAATAATGAGAACAATAACATGGCATCGTGGAGTTAAAAATCCTTGGTGTCCTCTGAGACATTTCAAAAACATAATCCTACAATTATGTTTATGCCTAGCAATTCTGTTGAAATTATGCCATTCTCACCAGGCAAGCCACCTCCAGTCTGTTTAGAATCATGGTATTTGCAAATTATTTCCCATCTCCAAGGGCCATTTGTAATGGAAAGAAAAGAGATATGAAATTTTTTTAAAAGTCCATTCTAGAGTTTTATGCCTGGGAATGGCAACAAAGCAAAGGTCATGGGACTTTCTGTGGTTCAGCCCTGACTCAGATGTTTGGTTACATAATTTACCCTGAGTGACCTGCAGACTTTACATCTATAAAATGGGATCTATGACATTTGTTGAAAAAATCCTAATGATTTCTAATGAGGAACGTGGCTGTGTTAGTGTTACAGATAGAAGGCATGGAGCAAGAATACTTTCTTGCTCTGGCCTCCTTTCTCACTTCCCTTTGGAAGGAAATGCTTATCTAAAACTCTATTGATTTTCTTTTCGGGAAGTATGTTTAATTATGAAGCAATTCAATAAGGTTTCCAGTGTGTTCCAAAAAGCCACCCAATTTTTTTTTTTATCTTTAGCATCTCATAAATTAAATTTTGCTTCTGTGTTTTATTTTATAAGCTCTCAGGTTTGAAAATGATTGGGTAAAATATATGTATGTCAATAGAAACAATGAAACAGATGCTTTTAAAAACTGAAATTGCACCCTTAGGTTTCAGATCCTAAAGCAGCTAGGAAATGCTGAGATCTTGGGGGACTTTCTGTTAGTGAAAAGATAAAAGATATTTTTTCTTTCTTTTTCTCAAGTCTCCATCATTAAAGTTTGGTTCTAACAGCAGACTCCTTCTCTTTTTCATGTGTGTTGAAAAGCAGCTACTCCCTGTATCAAAGCCATCAGCCCGAGTGAAGGATGGACGACGGGAGGCGCGACTGTGATCATCATAGGGGACAATTTCTTTGATGGGTTACAGGTCATATTCGGTACCATGCTGGTCTGGAGTGAGGTAGGTGTTGTCTGAACATTAATATCTAATAGGTTGGTCTAGTTGAGGATACTGTCTACACTTGAATTTCTAATAGAGTGTGTGTAGAATTTCGTGGTGCCACCCTGGGTGGGCCAGCTCTAGTCTGCAGAACTCCGAGAAACCGGGAGACATGGGTTGGGTATACCTGGAGGCACTACTTTCTACTGGAATGATTTCCATCCTCTGGCCTGTAAGCACCAGAAGAGCTTCTGTTTTGTCATTTGTCCTCTTATGTTAGCCGTGGTGTGGAGGTCCTACTGTGTATTGGGAGTTGGAAAGGAGATGCAGAGTCACAAAATATATAGGAAAAGCCCTGTTCAGACTTCAAGAAGATAGTAATCTGTGAACAGTTGTAGATGGGGTCTACTGGAGACCCTTCCTCAAGGAGCACCATTCATGTGACGGTAATAATGCAGCTGTAGGTGGTTCTTGACTGATTCAGGGCTTCTTCATCCAAGAGTGAGTGATTTACCAGTGCAACCTCGAAGAACCAATGGCTTTTTCCAGCCCTAAGAATTTACAGCTCACGGGCAGCTTAGTATGAGACCCCAGCCACATGAAAATGACTCTGTTCTGTGTGTGTAGTGCTTTCTAAGCACTGTGATCATTATTTTGACCTGTCAGTTGACTTGCCTGGCAATAATCAATGTTAGCTCGAGATTATAAAACATAAGCATCACTATTATATAGACGTTGTGGAAAACTTGCCTTTGTTTTCTTTCTGTATTCTGAGCCTAGACTTCTTATCCAGCATGCCCAGAGCCCCTTCTCTTTCACTTGCCCAAAGTTTAGAATAAGACCCATGTTAGGGCTATAAGGTACTGCTGAGCTCATTCACCCTGCTTGTTTTATAAGCAGTTGTGTGAATCTCTAAACTTTATTGGAACTTACTGTATAGTAGGCGCTGTGCTCAGCCCTTGACACAGATCATCTCAATCCTTCCCTCTTAGCACCCTTAGCACATATCTTTTTTTTTTTTTAAGATTTATTTATTTAACAGACGGAAAGAGATCACAAGTAGGCAGAGTGGCAGGCAGAGAGAGAGGGGGAAGCAGGCTCCCCACCGAGCAGAGCACCTGATGCGGGCCTCCATCCCAGGACCCTGAAATCTTGACCTGAACTAAAGGCAGAGGCTTAACCCACTGAGCCACCCAGGCACCCAGCACATATCTGTTCTTAATGAAGACACCAAGGTTTAGAGATAAATAGTTACAAAACCCCAAAGCAGCTGCTTGGAGCCCGTGGAGTGTGGATTTTATGTATGTAGCCACACAGAGAAGTCAGTAGCAGAACTGAAGCTAGAACGCAGATTTTTTTATTTCAGTATCTATCTGTCCTCCCATAATACCACTGTTCAGACCATGTAGATATTTTGTGTCTTCTCTCTAGGTGTGCCTCTGGGTAAGCAGAGAGTTAAGGCTAATCATTGAGCATGTTTATCTTCCCAAAGCAGAACCTGTCTTTCTTTTTAAGTCTTCTATGTGCACATCTTATTGCCAGGAACCCACTCTGGCCAGCCCCTTGCCAGCCTGTGCTGTCTTTGGTTTTGTGTTTCCAATGCTCCTAACTAGCGGCATGTGTGTGGCTCGAAAATCAAAGCTCTCACAGAACTGAATCAGAGATGGGCTTCTCAGTGCACCGAACTGATTGCTGTCTGAGGTGGATGGGCCATCCCAGCATGAAAGGTGAACTGAGCTCCCGCTGCCGACTGTACCCATTCTTTGTCGGGACCATTGGGTTGTAAAATTAGAAGCATCACATACATGTCAGTCTGGTGTCTTTATCGCAGCTGGGGACGGCAGTCCTCACAAGGACAGCTTCTCCCAGATCATGTGGGCTATATATTCATCCCTTCCTATCTCTCATTCTGTTGCTTATCATGGAAGTTGGAAGAGGGAAGAATAACTATAACATGCACTTCTTGCTCCATATTACTGTAGTCCAAGTGAGGCCTGAGAAGTGGGACTCAGATTTGGCGGGAAGTCTTACTAAACCTCTGAGAATAAGGTGGGTTAGTCTGAAACTTCTTTTGAAACTTTGTATCCAATCTTTGCCCAACACTATATTGGTTATGGAACAAGGACTTTGACATATCAGGAAATCGTTAATTTGTACCCCTACCCTGTTCCTAGTCAAGGTCCTTGTGTTTCCTCTCGGTTCCCCCATATTCTTGCCCTCTTTTGGAAAAGGTAAGGAAGATTAATTTCTAATTTAGACTTATCCAAATTACTTCAAAGGATCTGTTTCCACATAACAAAACCAATGCAAGTCATGAAAAAAAATAACCAAGTAAGGGTATACCTTTGCCCTCCCCTTTCCTCAGGCCCTCCACTGCCCTGGGTCCAGCTAGGAGGTGAGGGTGGGGGATGCATGCTCCTTCTTGGCCCACCACCTCCTGCCCAACTGCTCTCATGTGTGATTATGTCATAAATCAACTCTGACCCTTTCCGGTGGAAACCTACCAGGCAGTTTCCAAAATTAGATATTATTTTAAAATAAGTAAATCCTCTGCTGTAATAGAGGTGGGGAGTCTGAATGGAAGATTTTGATATGGGTTGTTATTTTTCTTGACATTTCAGAAACATGAGCCTTGCAGAGGTGAACTTCTTATAAATATTCTAAACTATTTATATATTTAGATTTCATACAGACATGATTTTCTCTCCCTTTTAGTGAAGGGAGAGAATTTGGTACTGCTTCAATTTCAAAAACCCATTGTATAATACTGAGAAATTAAGAAATAACTCATGTTTATGAAAGGTTTATCATGCATGGGCACTTACGGGTATCACTTTATTTGATCCTCCTGATAGCCCTGTATTAGAGCCATATGAGAAAACCAGGCATCCGAGAGGTTAAGAAACTTACCCATTGTCACACAGATAGTGCTAGATATGGCATTTTATACTACAGTGGCTCTTTTTACAAAGGAAATAAAAGCCCAAGTTACTGAGAGGGCAAATGGACACATAAGAGAGGGAAACGGGACAGAATTAGGAGAAAGAAAAAAAACATGCCTAGAAATCCAGGTAATAGAGAAGAGCTAGTAGTAATAGTAACAGTAGTAGTGACTGTGGTGGTGGTTTTTAATCACATAAAATTACATAAATGCCTTTCATTTGGTAGAGGCAAAAAACATCCACCAGTTCTGGGCCATTTCTGCAGGCTTCCATTGGATAGAATCAGAACTCAATACTGTGAGTATTTAAGAGAGGATATCTGTGAAAGATCTGTGGAAAAAATGTGTAGTATGACTAATACCAGCTAACATTCCCTGAGCACTTGGTTCCTGCCAGGTACCATGCTGAGTATTTGGTATGGCTCTCCTGCGAGCATTGCAACATCTGTCTACCATGTTGTTCTTGTTTTACTGATGAGGAAATTGAGGCTTAAGGAAGTTAAATAAGCCATTCAGTGATCAAAGGGGGGACATGGGATTTGAACCCAGACAGCCTGACTCCAGAGCCTCACCTGAACAGTCTATGATTTAGCCTATGCCCCAATTTTTACCTTAGTGTTTTATCACATCAGACTAGGGTGTGATGCTCACCATTGCCATTGATGTCTTGTGCTGTGGTGAGGTGGGAATGGGTATCTTAGCAATTACTATCACCTTCCAGGCTGAGGTAGACTTGGGATGCAGGAGTAAGAGTGATCCCTTCATTTTCTGGTTGTATAGGCTTGTGGATGGAGCCATTGGCTTCTAGGAAGAATTTATCCATATGAAGGATACTTGCCTTGTGTGAGGGGCAGAAGACAACCTCTTCCTTGCCAACATAGAGAACTTAGGTAGGACAGTGAACCTGTTTGGGCCTCATCTCTACATAGGACCCCTATCTATCTGGCTCTTTGTCCCCTGGCCACATGATCTGTGCCACCTCTAGGACCTGGTACTTCTAATTTTAAGTAGACTATTATCTCTTCTCCATTTCCTCACTTTATAGCCCAAAGCACTCAGGAAGCAGGCTGGTGGGCCTGGACAAGCAGATAACATTTTAGATTAGCAGCTGATGCTATTATTTGGAGTCTTTTTTTAGCTCCAGAATTTTAAAAAGAGTGAGAGAAAATAGGGCTAGCTAATTTACCCTCCTCTGTGCTCTTTCCCTACCAACCCAATCTTTTGCAAATGAGTAGTTCAGCTTAGCTCCCTGATTGCCCCCTGAGGGTTGGGAAAAAGAAAGGTAGCACTCCATTGTTCCTCACTCAGGGCTGCCTTCTGTGAGCTCCCAAGTTTGGGGGGGAACTGCCTCGCTTTCCTGTGAATTTGGTTTGCCATCTTTGTTCTTCTTCCTTAGCATTTCTTGCCTTTTCTCCTCTCTGTCTTTCCAGAAAGCAAATTATTATACTGATACCCTTGGGCTTCTTAGCCTGCCTTTACCCAAAAGACTTAACAAATATATATATGTTATAAATAAACCCAGGAAAAATCAACAGGATTGATGTGTGCTCGTGATTAATATGAGTTGAGTTTTTTCCTCGATCAGAGATATTCTTGGTTGTTTTTGCTTTTCCATCAACATGTGATTTGGAGGGGGGAAGGGCTGCTGCTACTGGTCTGTAGAGCAAATACTTCCTTTAATATCTCCTTGAACCGCTCTAATTGCTAAGCGATGAGTACTGCTTGGCTTGCCTCTTGGTGTCTAGCGCTGGGATAGGTACTACGGGTGATCACAATTAGGCTTTATGGACTCTGGTGTTTTATTTGGAAGAGGAACTTGCTCCCATGAAACAAATTGGGGACTTACATAATATATTTTTATAATCCAGTGTTAAATGACTAGCTTAAAATTCAAAGCAAGGTCCTCGAAGGCACAGAGAATGGTATAGGCAGAAGTAGACTGTTCAAATAACCAGCCAAGCTCCTGTGATGTACGGGTGCCTCTCTCTGCTAGGCATTTTAGGCTCTGACCATCCTTTGATTTAATCACAGCAGTCTCTGGGAGAATTTATACAGCTTAAGGTATTTAAGATGCCTGTAA